AAGGACAACTTCTAGTAAGAACTCGGTGCCTGGAGTACATTCTAGTATAACCGGCCCAGTGACGAGATCGAAGAGTCGTGCACACGCCCTAATTAAACCTATAAAGGGACTTTCCCATTGACCAGCATTCTAAGCCCTGAAGATGTCGGTAGATGCCGACGAAAGCTAGGCACTTTTATTGATTTCTATGTGTTTTAAATGTTTTTAATATTCTTAAGAACTTTTATCTCTAAATTATTATTATTAAATTATTTATTGTATTCCCTGGTGCTCACGTCTATTGACTGACTTTGAACATATATATATATATATATATATATATATATATATATATATATATATATATAATGAAATTTGTATGGCTGCCCAATTTATATTTTATGATTCTGGGCAGTGTACTCTAATAAAAAACAAGAATGTCAAAATCCAACCCTAGATAATTTGGAACCTACATAACAAACCATAATCACATGTATAATTAAATCTGAGTTTGACAAGTACTCACTCTCAAAGCAGAATAAGCTCTTCTTGGCCTAATGCAATTATAAGCAGATAGCTTTATTCCAATTACTTATTGTATTTGAGATCACTATTTTGGGAATAGAGAACCCGTCTTCTCTCCTGTTTTTTTTTATAAGCTCTTAGTCTGGAATACAGTTACAGTATCACTATACCACTAATCTGTTCCAGGCAGACACAATGAGCATTGCTTGTTTCTGCAATCCATCAGTCTTTGGGAGGGATGCTCTGAGCTATCCAGCACTGAGTTATAAGGGAAAGGCCAGCTTCTTCAGACACTGTATCTTTGGGGGGTTTTTTTGGAGATGATTGGGCAGGAGTTGACTGAGTTTAGGAGTTTATGTGACACAATTGATCAGGGAAAGTCAATTTAACCTAAAACATTTTAATTTAAAACTTTAATCCACAATTGATTGGTTACCCCATTCTTGGCATAGTCAAGTATATTGTGCAGACCAGACATAATGTGGTTTCTGAACCACAGGTATAGCTTAAGATGTTGAGTGATCCCAGCCAATTTTAACCATATTAGTCCAATATTAATCCAGCCACAATTTACCATGATCTGCTTATAACTGTAATATTTATATACTGTAACTAATTTGTATGATACCAATAACACTGATCACTTTCACTCACCTCTATCACCGGGTAGGCAATTTCATTGTAGATCTGTTCCGTATTATGGTTCATGTAATATGCCCCATCAAAAGTGAATTGTTTGGGAGGATCATCTTCAGCTGAAGGGTTCTGGATGAAGCACTGGCCACGGGCACTGTCCATATTAATTACTACCTTGCAGCCAAGCTGTTTTTCACGTTCATTCAAAGGGCGGCAACGCACAATCACTTTCACTGCTTCTGAGGCCATGGCCAAGACCCATGAACTTTGGCTTGGTGTGTGTGTGTGTGTGTGTGTGTGTGTGTGCAATAGGTCAAATTAATTCTAGAGCATGAAGTTCCTACTCACGTCTGTGGATGTCAGGAGCAAAGTGACGAAAAAAAGGGCAAGTTATAGGCAGCTGTTGTATTCAGATACAACTGGCCTTGGAAACTGGCTCATTTTGCCTGGCAGTATAAGCATTAGAAAACAAATACTTCCTTATGGGTACAGTCAATGCAAAGAGATGTGCCTGAAGCAATGAGCTTTCTAGAAAGAAGGCAAAACCACTAACATCAATTAAAAAGTGCCAGGGATGGAGAAAAAAACCAAAGGCAATGTTGGACCTGGATGGTAGAGGGGAATCTGAAAGACGCAGTTGATTTTCCTTGGTCTTGCTGTGAGAGAGGTAGTGATATGCTACAGCAGAAGGTTCCAGGTTTCCATCTCCCACATAACTAAGCTGTGAATTTGTACAGATTCTGGGGACGGTTTTCTATGGGACACACCTAGAACCCACTTATGACCTCACAATACCTCCTAGAGACATAGAAGGCCAAGCGGTGAAACGGAGACATCCAGCAAAAGATCTCCGCTTGTTTCATCCAAGGTTGATGCTGTAGCAGTGAAAGGAATACAGGGCCCCTCCACCACTCTGAATGCAGCTGATCCAAAAACAGGCTTTCAGGCTCAGAAACCATGTACCTCTGCTGCCCCCCTCCCCCAAAAGGCCTCAATGTTATTAGGCACTTTGAATTATGCCTGCATGGAAAGAGCACAGTGTTTCCATGGGGAAGCTGGTGAGAAATTAGGCACTTTTCCTGATCAGTTTGACCCTAAGGATCTGTGTCTTGGAAACAGGAACACGGGAAGACGCATTCAGTCAAGCAATGGTCCCATCTCAAGCCTGGTGCAATAGACTTAGCTCTTCCATCAACCCCTGCTCTTTGGCAGGATACCAAAACAGGTGAAATCACAGTGGAAAGAATAAAATGCCCTTTGGAGTGCCACCTTGACTTTGGCAATCTGTGGTCAGAGAGTGAATGAAGAGTGAGAGGCTCACACTAAGCTTTGGAACAGTGTCAGAAAAATGGCAGGAGACAAACACACAAAAGGCAGCTGTGCTAAGTCATGTTCCAGTAACAAAGAAGTAGCCGGCAAGGTATTTGTGTCTTGCATGTGGGGCAGAAGGCTGGTGGCTGAAAACCACTTCACCTATACTGACCTGGGATGAGCTGGAGGGGGGAAGGGGAAAAATACAGTCTATAACCTATTTATTATTTGAATGAAAAGGGGCAGAATGATGCATGAATGGAGGGATGGGGAAGCTGAGGAAAGTTTAGCGAGTGCAAGAAATATGGCATAAAGCGGAGATGCCCAGCGAAGTAGGAAGCTCAGGGAAGCAATGCTTCCCTTTAGAAGTGGGCAGAGCTTGCCATGCAAAAAAAAACTGGCGGGGGGGAAGAGAAAATGGGGCAGTGGTGGAGGGTAACACCCAAAGCGCGGCCTCTGTCCCCGGACCTTCCTTCCGTGTGCCCGCCTCTCACCGTCCCTCCGAGGCGGGTCCTGGCTTGCCCGCCTGCACCCTCGCCCGGCGCCACCGACTTCCAGCTTCTATTTGCAGCCTGCGGGGCTGCTGACGGCAGCGTCCCCGTTGCCTAGGATACTAGGGAACATCGCTTAAGTCCCCGAGGCTGCTCAGCGGAGCAACGGGCAGGGAATGTAGCGCAATTACTCTGCTCGTTCTTGGGAGGGAAAACAGATTCCGTGAAGACAAGTGCAAAGGCGCATGTTAGGCTGTGGCAAAGCGAGGAAAAGATTTGTGGCACTTTTAAAGATTCTTAGCATTATAACGACATAAACTTTCAAGGATCACACCTCAGCGAGTTAGATGCTTGGAGTATAATCCTGAGATAGGAGAATATATACACCCATAGTATGCATTTCCCATGGTCTTATTATTATTTCTACCCTCACAATCACAGGTTCACTCTTTTTCATTTTTTGGCGCTCCGTTGCATTCACAAGCCTTGTGCCTTGGCTGTTGGTAGTTGCTTTTTGGAATGTAAAGGGGTATTCAAATTTTTGATGTACCCCAAATTAGAGCAAAAATAAGACACATTCCGATTTTGTAACAAATTTATAGTACTAGTGCCAACTTGGTCTCCAAAGATTCAGAAGGCACACACACACACACACACACACACACAAAATAAACCACTCTGTTTCCATTCAGTGGCGGTCTGGATTTTTGCAATCAAGGCCTGACTGATCTAATATACGCTGGGGAGAAGCACGCCTGTGGATCTAATCATAGTTTCAATCATCACCATCCCTCAATTTTCTACACATCTCTGTCTAACTTGGCATGGGTGCTATAAAAAAAACTTCTGCGCCGGGAAAGAACATCATGGAATATCTACATTAAACTGAGATCCGCCCGTCATTTATTAAACTACGCAAAAGACCCGCCGGATGATTACTTTGGGTAGCACACATTGGTTGACTGGAAATCGGAACTCCTCATCTGGGGAGGCGGAGAGAGGGGGGGAAAGCATTTCGGTGCACTGGAGACCGGAAGTGAGTGTATCCCGCGTGGTCGCGGCGAGAGGAACCCGAGGAGGGCGCGAGTATTATGGGGAGGCCCAGCAAAGTGAGGACTGAAGATACGGGGTGGCGAGTTACTTGAAAGACTTTGGGAGTTGTTGAATTTGTGGCCAAGCGCAGGTTTTGTGATGAGGGGGGTGAAAATGGAGAACGAGGGTGCCTTGAGAGGCAACGGAGCCTGGGATAGGTGCTGTGGCCGAATTGGTGAATGATAGAAGGACGAAACGGTATTAGAAGTCTTAGAAATTGAAAGCTCAATTAGCGAGTGATAAAGTTTTAGAAAACTCATTATTGGCCTGATGTGATATTATTGTAATACACCCAGGCTCAAGAAAATTACATGGATGTGTCCCATTTTGTGAGAAAATAGTTGTTCGTCCTTGATTGAAATCCGTCCTGATTATAAAGTTGCTCTGCTTCTTAATGTGAGGTTCTAAGATATTTTTTCTATACATATTAATGGGACCATTTCACCTATCTTCCCAATTGGCTTATTCTTCCTGATACCTGAGTAATTCCAAACAAATGAACTGCAAATAATACTGTAAAACTGCTTTTATGACCAGCTTCGTTTTGAAATAGTTAATTTCTTACCTCTAACCTTTGGTATACAGACATTTGTTAAGAAGAGAGGGGGAAACCAGAGCAAACCTAATCCTAGCAGGCTATGGGAAAGTAACCTGAAATAAGAGAGTAGATTTGGTATGGAGGGGGATATTTGTTTTGCGTAACTTGAACCCTACTAGTGTTATTCTTCATTCAATTCATTTTTCCATTTCAGACCAAGAATCAAAAGAAGGAGCGAGCAACTGCCCAGCATCGATCTCAAGAAGAATATGGCAGTGTGCCTCATTCCTTTGTGTTTCATCGTGGTCGTATTGGCAAGAATATACAGGAACTCATCCAGGATGTTCGGCGAGTGATGGAGCCCTATACTGCTACCAGCCTCAAGGTGAAATTATTAAATGCCATGGAAGGCTACTGTGGTTCATGGAAATAATTGCTTTACAGGTAGTACTCGCTTAACAACCACAATTGGGACCGGGATCTCGATCATTGATATTGGGGTCATTTTCTAAATTCCATATGAACAGTTGAAAATAATCTTTCCAAAAGCAAATATTAATTACGTAGATTTACATGTTTATGGAAACAATCTTGTTGTGCAAAACATTTTCACACTTTATTCAAGTTATAATTACTGGTGCTTGCATTTTATTTTGAAAGCAGACTATAAAATGAGATGGGGACAGCAGTTAAAAGTATGAGAGACTGTAAGAAGAAGAAGAAAAACAACTTGGCTAAATATTGTAACATGACAAAAGGAACTAGGCAGATCGCTCTAATCTTCAGTCCATTTTTGCAATGCTATTTACTTCTATTAATGAAGTAAAATTTAAATATATTTTATCCTAGATTTTGACCCCAAAGCACACCAGACAATGGAACAACCCTAGTCATTGTTGTGTCTTTTTTAGGCGCAGAAGAAGAATTCTTTGAAAGATTTTGTGACAATAGCTGGACCTCTGGGTGTGACTCATTTCTTGGTCTTCACAAAAAACCCCACCAGTATCAACTTTGTAAGTGATATATTAAGGAAATGTTCCATTTTAAGAACCTATGGCCCTGGTTGTCCATGCTAATTGGTCTAATCTGGGCCTCTGTTCAATTATATATTTTGGAGAGGATTTGGAGCATGTTCTGACCTGGCGCATAGGTTCAATTTTCATGCAATACTATTACATCTTGTTGCCACACAATGTGAAGAGGAGATATACCTAGAAGATGGCCATCTCCCTGGTTGCATGTGGCAAATCAGCCCTGTTATATGTAGGTAGAAGTAAAATAGGAAAGCTTCATTGTAACTAATCTTGAATCAGTCAGGATAAAATTTTGTAGCTTCTGGTAAATGAGCAGGAAAAAGACCTCGGAGCTGTGGTGAAGTAGTAGTTTCATGACAAGTATGTACATGTAACAAATTTATTCCTTATTGAAGACTGTAAAAAAAAATTGAAAATAAAGCTGTTAATATTGTAAATCCTCCTGGATATTGCAGGCTTGAAATAAGATAGGGGAGTTGAAATGATCAAGAGATAGAGGCACTTGTCTTTGAGGATATATACAATATTCAAGACTTTGCTTTTTAAAAAGGCAAATAAGAGGTGACTTGTGGTAAAAAGAAATTGGCCCTTATTATTGAAATTCAGGACTCAAATGATTTAAGGTTGTTACTACTTTTAGATTAATGTTTATTTTAACTGGGAGAGATTTGTGGAAGAAATAAATAAGATCTATAAAGAACTAGGACATATTTAGAAGAGATACCTGAACTGATAAGGTGTATATTTGAAGTTATATTTGATTATGGTTTTGTAATTGCATAAAGATTTAAAACAGGTTTAGGATTAATAGAAATTTAAGGTAGAAATAGTTTAAATAGTTTAAATATATAAGCTATTTGAGGGAAATAAAGAGGGAATATATGGTGCATTGATTGAATTACTTATGTATGTTTTGGTTTTGGATTTTTATTTACCCCAGCCCCACGGTGTGTCTTGAGCACTTTGTATTAATTAAAAAACCAATAAAATTTGTTTAAAAAAGAAAAAGAAATTGGCCCTTATTTAATTAAATATACCAAATGCAGACCATTTTATTATACTTGTCCATACATAATTTACACCTAGTGTAAAGTAATTTGAAGTCACAAATTACACCAGATCTTCAGTCCACTGAACTGATATGCTGCACCAGCCACAACTTGGAAGGACTGGTTGTAAATCTCCTTTTTCAGCACTGTCATAACTTTCAACAGTTGCTGAGTGAGCAGTTGGTGAGAACTATTTGTAATAATATTAATATTGGAGGAAATGCTGATTATGGGGAAATATGAGCAGGAAGAATCTTGTGCTCATTTTTCTGCTTTGGAACTTAAGGCCTCCAGATGGCAACAGTTGTGAAGAAATAAAATTGTTGAACCAAACAGATACTTAACAATCACTATTTTACATTGTTTGAAGGCTTCTGCTTTCACAGTGATTGAATGTTAAGCTTATTTCTTCCCTGAACAGTTTTTAACTTTCTTTGCCCAGTGAATTATCTTAATTCTATCTGCTTACCAGATGCAAATGATGACAATTGTCTTGCTGATTTAATTCTGTGATTTTTACTTCAAAGTAAACGCACTGATGCATCTGTATAAAGAGTGTCCATACCATTGGAAATGAAACAGAAGTAAAAGCTATAAACTTATTAATGTTAGGGCCTGCTTTAAGCTGCTGAATCCTGCAATATTAGTACTTAGGAGTTAATGCTCCTTCCTGGTGATTTCTCTCTTAGAGACTCCTGCGCCTCCCTGGTGGACCAACACTGACCTTCAGAGTCATTCAGGTACCAAAGGGATTATATTATCTAGAGTGGGAAAGGCTGGGTAGAATTAGAACTGTCTGGAATTTGTCACGGAAGGAGACGCTAATGCTTACGGTTTTAACTGCTTGCGGTTCCTATGGATAGTATGCAGAATTGCAGATGTGTTCCCTCGTGTGTTTGTTCTGTGCTTGGGTGCAGAGTAGTTCTTATTCTCCTCTTCCTCCTCCTGTAACAAAATAATTGAAATTTGAAAGCTTTGTGTATTTTTCATATAGAATGACCTTGCATAATTAATTTTCTATAAGTTGTTCTGGCCACTGCTGGACATTGTCATTATCTGGTTTCTGAGATTTCGCAGAGAATAGCCCATATATTTTCAAACTCCCACTTACTAGCATGAAGAATACAGACTTTATGTAGGTTGTTTTAAGCTGAGATTCTGAGGCAGTCCTCAAAATAAAGACATCCCCTTTGAAAAGAATGAGGCCTCACTTGTCTGTGTTTGTTGTTTGCAACAGTATTCACTCATCAAAGATGTTGTGTCATCTCTGAAGCGGCATCGGATGCATGAACAACAGTTTACCCATCCTCCTCTCCTAGTGCTGAACAACTTTGGCACTGAGGGCATGCACATCAAGGTCATGGCCACTATGTTCCAGAACATGTTTCCCTCCATCAATGTTCACAAAGTGAGTATATTCAAGCTTGGAGATTGGGTGTGATTATGGAGGCGCCATCTTACAAAGATTTGTTATATTTGAGTGGTAGTGGTGAATGGTGCCTCAAATCAATAGAAGTTCTGAGACAGAAATATCCAGACTT